GATTCGATTTCACTGCATGGTTTTTATTATGGGAGAAATTATCTTCATCTCGAATAAAAAATAATTGAAGATTTTTCCCCTGATCTCACTTTTACCTTTAAGTTTCATTCAAATCGTTCTCCCTGTGGCTTCTGTATCGAGAGCTCCGCTTTTAGGCAGTGCCTAAATATATATGTTAGTCGAGTGATTCTAACTAAGACAAATTACCTATTACCTATTCCGAGGTACGACTGAGTCTAGTTGCCATTAGCAATGTGGGATTGTTTTGCAGTACCACAATACAATGCAAGGTGAACTCCTCCCAATCTTTGAATCAACCTCGGAAAGGCTAATTCCGAGAATGCAGCATTCTGGATACAACAAGAAGTTTAGGCATGAGGTTGTCGACTCAGCAATGAAGGCTTACAAGGATATGATAATGAAAGATCAATCAGGAGAAGCACCGATGTACAGACCGAAAGAATGGAGGAGGAAAGAGAGAGAACAAGACTTAAAAAGAAAACCTGGTTCAAGAAAGGTGGATACAGTAGTGTTATATTTGTACCTGCTACCCCCAACTCTGATTTGAAGAAGAGTTTAGAAAAGGATATAAAAGATTCAAGCCTAAAGATAAAGATCATCGAGAAAGCTGGTACTAGTATGRAGAGAATATTGCAATGATCAGATCCGTTCAAGGAGAAGTGTAGCAGAGAAGATTGTATCGTATGCCAAACGGGAGGGAAAGGTCCCTGTAAAGCTGCTAATGCCACATACAAGATTAAATGCACTGAGTGCAACCAGACGTACATAGGAGAGACAGCCCGCAACACATACAAGAGGAAAAGAACATTAGCGGGAGATGGACTCCAAAAATGAAGGATCAGTATTGTGGAAGCACGTGCAATGTAACAGAATTGTTTCAGAGGGATGCTCTACTCAGACAAGTAAGCGAAGCGGTGAAGATCAACAGAGAAAGACCTAAAATGAACACTAAGAACGAATGGAACTCTATCAACATTCCGCGCGCAACAATCAATTAATTTGATTAGAGCGCGCGCCCCGTAATTTTCCTAACGGATTATAATATGGCATATCTTGTGATAAAGCGGATAAATCCTTCTCGATGGCGATAAATCGCTAACATGGAAGCCGCCATTTTGGAAACTCAATGTCATAGCACCGTCGGTGTTTACAAGGAAAGGGCACGAAATTTCACTGCTTTTATTTTAACTTACCAAAATCGCGGTGTTTTCGAGAAAATGCCGCACTGTATGGTCTCTGGGTGTACTAATGGCTCAAAGAAGACTAAGGGAGCAGATATTTTTTATCATTATTTACCAAGAGATACAAAGTTTAAAAAAATCTGGATCCTGAAAACTAGTCCCATGTAAGGGAATCCGGACTTATGGTGGATTCCGGATTCCAAGCGCTGGATTCCGGATTCCGAGACTCTGGATTACGGATTCCAAGGGTCTGGATTCCGGATTCCAAAACTTTTGTATTGCGGATTCCGGATTCCATATCGTTAATTTTCAGATACTTTCTCTGAAAATTATATTTGATGTACTTGCCAGTATAAGTAGAATCAATCAAATCAGCATCTAATGACAGATATTCTTGGTGGAGATATTACACAGTGGGGGAGGGGCTACATCGGTTCAATCTAGGTCGAGGCGATAGCATTTGAGTGTATACTTTGAATTTCAAAGTAGCGGATTCCGGATTCCAAAAGGGTAGATTCCGGATTCCATGATAAACTGGATTCCGGATTCCAAAGCCTGGATTTCGGATTCCAGAGTGCTGGATTCCGGATTCCAAAGCCTAAAATTTCGTGGATTCCGGATTCCGGATTCCCTTAAACTAGCCGTCTGAAATCCTGGCAAAGAGAATTCGTGCTATGTTTGTAGCACTCACTTTACACCAGACTGCTTTGAAGTTTCTTATAAACATCTTTGTGGGCAGAAAGGCAAGAAAGTTATTAAGCCTCGGGGGCCATTCCAACCATTTTCCCTCACACAAGGCAAAAGCTTGAACGATATAAGACCATAGAAAGACTACGTAAACGAGACAAAACAGAGGTAAATTGTATTGACTTTATTTGCGAATAATCCTTAATATTAAAGAGATTGATCATGAGAATCTTATAGCAGTACTTCAAACAGAAATAGAATATATATTTTATAAAATATTGTTAAATAAAATTCAATGATAATATATACATATGGCATATGATGATGTAGTTATTGGTATTAATACACATTTCAAGCACAAATGACGATACTTTACCTTAAGTAAGTTGAATGGTTATTAAATTCAAATATAGCGGATCTAGAACAGGTCAGAAGGTCATTGGTGTTGATTATATAGAATTCTTTGATTGCACGTTACGTCATTGCGGCCATGTTGGTGCTATTTAAGAAAAGATTTCTCATTAGCATCCATTGTTAATGGCACCACAATGGCCGCCATGTTTTTGTCTTTTGCCTCTCTTGGGAATGCTTGCAACCCATCAATAGGATATCACTGACGTGAACACAATAAAAGTTGATGCAGCAATTACAATGTGCAAAAATATTAACAAGAAGAATTGGAATACAAACATTGAAAACCTATTCCAGTGACAATAAACTGAGAAGACAAAAAAGTCCCTTTCCTGATAAAGAAAAGTAAATGTAGGTAGCCAAAAGGGTCATCTTAATGACCATGATTATTCTACATGTATACCTCTAGTGAAAGTGAGCAAATCATTTGAAACTAATACTGTTGAAAACGGGACACTGTGTGTTGACATGGAAACTAGTTTTGAAGAAGCTGACGAAGAAATAGAAAGTAGTGTGGAAGATTCTGATGATGAATATATATATATAGAATTTCTTGAGCTTGGAAAAAGAGCAATGTTTTTTGCATTGTTAATGGAAGTCGACATTTGATGAACCTTTACTTTTACGTTCAATTTCATAGTGGCTGTGAGCCAAGCGTTGTTCCAGCTGATTCATGATTCGTAGAGTTATTTGCCAGATTGTAACCCTCTCTTCATTGTATCTGCAATAAACCTAAACAAAATATTCCAAGCCTCTGAGGTTTCTTGAGTCCATTGTGACTGCAGTAGATCTTGTAAAGTGTCCATCAGAGCCACTTGCATCGCCTGAGATATACGCAAAGACACAAAGTATAAATCAACTTGTAGCCAGAAAACCAAAGTAAAATAAATTTGTCAAATATGAAACAGTTCGACATTCAATCCTAACTTATATCTTCGGTTACCAGTTAGGTGCGTGGTCAATGATTTTCATGTGTAAACACGGCTGCGATCTTAGCGAAATAGAAGTATCTAGTTCTGGATGCACGCAACAAGTTATTGCCAAATGGCATGAAAGTGAATTTATATTAAATCATTTTGCAACTTGAAAAGCAAGGCAGATTTATGTTCTTTATAAGGACAACTTCAGCAACGGGGACCAGCGCGTGCGAGACGCCGTGCTGATAATCGTCATCTACATTTTTTACAATAACAAGAATGAATAATATAGGCACGCCATTATATTATTATATACACGACCAGCTCATGTCCCTATTCTTTGTACTTACATCCAGATAAGATGGTTTAAGGGCACGTGCTACATGTCTCTGCCCCAGTCCCTCCAGGTATGCAGCAAAACTCTCCGTATCATCCATGGCTGTAACAGCATTTTCCACGGCCTTCATAACTCGTTTAGCGTGTCCATGTAAAGCATTGGCTCTTTCTAGCTCTTCTCGCTTAAGGTTCACAAACTCAGGAAATAGTTTCTGGAAGTCTGGGTTAATTTCAAAAAACCTGTTGAAGATAAGTCAAGTGATAAACTAACCCACCAAAACATCTGTAAGCTATCGGCTATGACGACATACTGTTGTATTTTCATTCGTTACCAAACCAACCAAACCAACCAAACCAACCCACGTCGCAGTTAGTAATTGGAAATATATGTATCAGGGGTTAGGTACACTTAAAATATCTTCATACTGGGATGAAGATATCGCTTTTTAGTAATATAGAAAAAAAATCATCGATGATTATATATTGAAGGAATCTTACGGATAAGCTTCAAAAGTTATAATGTAAATAGATGTCTTTTTCTATCAAAATTTGCTGCTGCTTTACACGAAATGACAAAAAAGAAAAAAAGAAAAAAAAAGGGGAAAAAAAAAAAAAAAAAAAAAAAAAAAAGAAAAAAAAAGGGGAAAAAAAAAAAAAAAAAAAAAAAGAAAAGAAAAGAAAAAAATTTTTTTTTTCACACCGCAATTTTTTTTGGTTTACTTTATTCTATTTTTGGGAAATGAAATTTTCGTATGACATTTTCGTATCCTGCTCATGCTACGCCATTGTTTTTTGTTTTTTACATTCGTTTCTCCCTTTTGTTTGCAAATTGAATAAACTGAAACTTCGTTGTTTGAGATTTGGAGGAGGAAGAAAAGCAGTTGAATCAGTGAAGTGGAACAATTATTTGTTGCCAACGTCTACCCTGAAGCACTGAAATGGTTATTTAAAGTTTTCTTCAATTCCTGGCCGCCGTGAAATATTTTGGTATGCTATGAATAACATTAATCAAAGGGTAAAAGCGGGGGGAAACGTACTAGTCACATTATTCAGAAGTATGGTAAACGCCAGGGCTTCGTACAACCAGGCCCAGATAAACCTTAAGGCAATGCCTTTTCATCCAGTTTATTTGCACATGACAGAAGAAAACTTGAGGCCTTTAAAAATCAATTAAATCCCTAGTGAATAGTTATAATAGAAGTGTTCGTTTTTTTCATGTTACTTAATTCTTAAGAGGTCTTTTCTATTACTAGAACTAAGTTTTGTCATAATAGTGCTTACCTCAATAATTAATGCCTCGTTGTACTTCATTAGTTGTTTACTTTCACGCTTTTACGTCATTATCATTTTATTTCGTCCATTCTTTTCTCTTATAAATATATAAAGTGCTGGGAGAAATAGTCTAGTTGCATTAACGTTTGTCATAACGTTGAAGGGTATTGACGCCCGTAAAAAACGTGTGTAATTCTGCTATACGCCAGGCTTGAWTAAATTTGACTCGGAAGATGTTGAAGACACACAGAATTACAATTAGGACTTAAACGATGAAATATAAGAGTTATTGATTCTTTAATTATTGCTAGTGCTGAAGCAGATTTGAACTTTCACAGGATGAAATGTTTTCATTAAAGTTAATTTTGCTTTTCTCTCAAAACACCGAAAAACATTCCCCATGCGTAAGATAATTACATTCTCGTTTCTCAAAGTTTTAAACGAACCCAAAATAATTTCTATTATTTAAGGATCTCAGTCGCTCACTTTGAACTTATTGTTGAATTTTTTTTCATAATAAATTTGTGCAGAACAAAAATTGAAACATTTCTCAAAAGAATATCTTTGAAAAAAATATGTAACATCTTTGAAAAGATCTGTATCTCTGTCTGATTAAAAAAAAACTGGCTCCTTTTTTCCTCAGTATTAGAATTACACGATCATTATTTATGTAATATTCAATCTATAGTCAAAATAGTGGGCACCGAAAAAGACAAAGACTGTTTATTTTAAAGAGAAAAAGTATTAACTACGAATATAAAGGACGAATTTGTAATAAGTATCCTTGCACGCGCATGATTAACTACATCAATCCAAACTTACCTTAAAAACGTCTTTTTCCCCACTGAGTTTTTGTGAGCATCGATAGTTTCCCAAGTCTCTCGTACAAGGTATTTTTGTGTAGTTGACAGCGGAATGGAAACGAATTCTTTTCGCACATTCGAATCAATTGATGAAGCACAACCCATTATTATAATCACTTATGGAATTGTGTTTTTTAGTCCTCTCTTTCTATTCCTTCTTTTCTTTTAAACCAAAGGTGCAATGACGTCTGAAACGTGAGGTAAATTCAACAGTGATTAGGACTGACTTGCACTGAAAATTGTCAGTTTCATCAAGCCCTGAAACAACCTCAGGAAAAACCCTTACCCGYCAAAGCTTGTTTGATGACGTCTGAGTGCGGCATTCATAACACTTTGCTGGTGGTATTGACTTACTTTATTTATGAATTACGATAAATCCATAATTGCCGCTTCAAATCTTTGGTCAATAATGGGCACAAAACATAAATAAATCCGAATAGGAAAAATCTAGAGATAGATTCAGAGCGGTTTCGGATATAAAAACCAAAAACATTAATATAGTTTGCAAAATTCGGTGTGTGTTAATGCTTCAGCCTAGCTTTACTCTTACCTTATATACTTATTCCTCAGTCGCTGAAGATTTCAAAATTTCATGAACAGGACTGATTTAAAAATCTATATTAACAGTTAAATCATTTATAAAAACTCGTTTTATCTTTAGGTACTTTTAATGATACCGATATGTTCTGTACTCCTTTAATATGAAGCCCAAACACAGTACTCTATCTTAACCATTCACTACGTCAGTATTTTGCCTCGATGAATGGCTAAGAGCGACAGATAACAAGTTAAGGTTTCTGCAAAAAACAGTTACATGTTCGTCTTTTTAAGCTAAACTATTAAAATATATAAAATATATATCTTGAGTAAAAAGAGTTCTGCACGCAGTTTGTAACCAAAAAATAAGTCTTTYTTTATACGTGACTGATATGATAGGAACAATTTACCTTTTTACCTTAATAATTTTGCGAATTTTGGACAGTTTTATTCTCGCTCGCTTCGCAAAACTAGTGCGGCAATTTGACTGGATTTTTCATATAATGTGCTTGGATTGCTAACAGTGTATTTTATTTTGAGTTTTTAAGTGTTCAGCCTATTACGACCGAAAATCAAACAGTTTTTGGCTTTTTTCTCCTCATCCTCAGGTACGATTTTTCTGAAATTTTCAGAATCTTATCATCTAGTACTAAAGCAGTCTGTGTACAAATTTGGATGGAAMGTCTAGGGCAGAAAAAAGTTATGACGTCGCTTGAAAAGTCGATCCAAAATTCGAAGCATATTTGAACATCGCGCTGTAAAAAGCGGGATTGCCTTGAAATTTTCATTTATCTGTTTCCAAAGTATTGCGGATGAGCTTTACAAAAGATCAGTATCAATTGAAATCCAAAATATCGAAAGTCATTTTAGGAAATGTAGCCCCTGCTGAAACCTTCTGTGATGATTAGAACTGTCAGATTGGCCCAGCAGAGACAGGAATTCACCACAAACGAGTAGCGACAGGTCATGATTAAAGTACGATAGAATGAGTCTCAAGTCTATATATTTTTAATTTTGATTATGAGCATTGATACATGGTGGTTATGCTATTGATGCTGTGCCGATGTAACGACTCAGAGATGATTTAGATACTCGGTGATATCTTATCATCCATTATCCATTTTGATCTTCATATAAATATATATATATAAGCTCACAACAATGAGAGAAAAAAGGTCTTGGAATCTTAAAATTTCCATTTTTTTGAAAATAGGTTCTGAATGTTGGTCAATGCCGCAATTTGGAAAAGGTCATGATTCGTAGGGCTTTTTCTTGAAGTCTAATGAGTGATTGAAGATTAGTACTGTAGGTTGATCCCCAAATAATCATACCATATGTCAAATAAGGGTAGATAAGACAGTAGTATAATTGTTTCAAAATAGAATTATTTACAAAATATCTTAGTTTAGAAATTATGCCAATACCTCTAGAAATGTTTTTACACAGCTCATGAATGTGTTGTTTCCAACTCAGGTTTTTATCAATAATAAGACCTAAATATTTAACATATGTTTCCTGCTTAAACTGATGAATGCCAATTATTAATTTGAAATGATATGTAATCTTCTTTTGGGGTGGATGAAAAAGAACAAAATTTGTTTTTTCGGAATAGAGAGATAATTTGTTTGCATTTACCCATTGTGGCACTTTATAGAATTCAAAGTTAATTTTACTCTCCAAATGCTGAAGGTTAGGATCACTAAGAAATAAATTGGTATCATCAGCAAATAAGTGGAAATCCAACAGGTTAGATGACTTATATRTATCATTAATATAGATAAGAAAGAGTAGAGGTCCTAGAACAGAGCCTTGAGGAACTCCACAGGTGATAGTTCTATAGTCTGAAGTAGCATTACCTATAGATACAAATTGTTTTCTATTAGTTAGATAAGAAAGGAACCAGTAAAGTGGAACTCCACGGGTTCCATAGTGTTCTAATTTTCTTATTAAGATCTTATGGTCCACTGTATCAAAAGCTTTTTGTAGGTCTAAAAAAATACCACTGATCATAAGCCCTTGTCTATTAATAGAGTAAATGAATGAATGGTGGAATGATTGGAACGAAAACCAAACTGATTTTCATACAGGGTTGATGATAGATTAATAAACTTGGTTAGTCGATTATATACTAGTTTTTCTAGGATTTTGTTGAAAACAGAAAGAAGAGATATGGAACGGTAGTTTAAAAATAATGTCAAGTTGTGAACCCTTTTTATGAATAGGAACAACTTGAGAGAGTTTCAGATTAGACAAGTTGAGAAAAAGTGATTAATAATAATTGCTAGAGGGTATAAAGCTCTCTCCTTTAAAATCTTGAGTAGGAATGTTGGAATACTGTATGGACCAGAAGACTTGTTTGAATTTAAGTTAGAAATGATGTCTTCAATCTCAACTGGAAATGTTGGTGAGAAAAAAAAAGAATTGTTAGACGGGGTACCAAGGTAACTCATAAATGATTTCTCAGAGGGTGGAATAGATGTTGCAAGTCGAGGTCCTACGTTAACAAAAAAGGTATTGAATTCCTGAGCTATTTAAGAACGATCAGTGATATTTAATCCATTTTTAGAAATTTTAGCTGGTAAAAATGTTTTGGATTAAACACCGCCCCAACCCCCACCCCTTCCTAGCGATTTTGAATATTAAAAAATGTCATATCTCTACTTGGTCGGTTGCCTGTTTAAGCACTCAAGTAAGCTCGGCTACGCCTCGTGTGACTCTTACGCTTTTCTTCGTGCTTAGAACCTTCCGCCGGCGCGCACCCAAAACTCAAATGAAAGCACGCTAATCAATGACCAATCCTTTACTCTGTGACTCTTTATTTTTCTGCTTGGATCCAAACACTAAATTTTAAATTTTAATAACCCTACCAGACGACAACTCCCTTTCGAAGTGTGACATCAGTAAAGTAAATAAATTACGTGAAAACGAAGAAAAACATGGAAAACGATGAAACTCGGTTTTTACGACTACTRAGAGTGAATTAAAAAGGCTGATTGAGAAAAAACTACGACAGTAAACACAAAAATTAATAAAACTATGCTGTAGGTAAATGTCTTTTATCACACACATAACAACATGCGTTGTAAGCATCCATGTTGTTATGTGAATGAATTTTTTGGTTTGTTTTGAATTCATTTGGAAACTATTAAAATACAAACGAATCAACGACTGAGATCGAACACTGGAAACAGCTTTCATTTATCAAAATGATAATATGAGTATCAGTCCAGGCTGGAGATGACTTATGAACGTAACGAAGCTTTGCATCATGTGCGTGGAATCCTTTTTAGTTAAGTTGATAATTCATATCTGAAAAAATAAATTCCTTCTGACTCGCTGAAATCGAATCGGCTGGCAAATGATGTCCGAGGATGAGAAATTCTCCGAAAAAAGAACATTGGGCCGAGAAGCAAAACTTCGAAGGCATATGTGATATTTTGAGCCAATGACAGCGCGCGAAAATTTAACTTTGGGTTGATTATACTTCAAACACAGTTGGCATGGCAAAAACGGTTATTTGTTTGTTATACATCGTTATACTTTTTACTAGCGTTATCGTAATTTACTGAATGCGCAAGGAACTTTATTAAAGGTTCCGCTCCAAATTAAACAATACATTAATAAAACGAATAGCCATAAGACGGCCACCAGCAAGCACTCTATTAGCTCAATTATCTGTGCCCTGGCTACATGGCCGCCATATAAACAATCGAATAACTTTTCTTGACGATCGTACCCAGTTATTGGGAAGGGGATATGTCCTTTTTTCATTTATGGTTTAACTACAAGTAATTGTATGCAACACACTTAAAAAGTGAGGGTGTCATTCACGCTCATGTCATAATACTGTTCACTCGTAATGTTTTAGATTAACCTGAAGTTTAATTAAAATTATCGCGATTTTTCATTCAATTAGTTAGAAAGAAAGGAAGCCTGGGAGAAAGAAATAAAGCAAAGAAAGAAACACAGAAAGAAAAACTAAATTAAGTGGAATGGTATAACAAGAATTTGAGTAATGTCAGCATTCTGTAATTCTTAGTTTATACATTTTTATTATCATTGACGGGGGGAGAGGTCCAGTCAAAAGGCGCTTTCCATCATGTCTAACCGACCAGTCCGAGCGGACAGTTTTCAAATGGTATGCGTCAGTTCTTTAGAACTGGTCAGTTAACCAAGGTCTCACAACAATGGAAAACTGACGCGTACCATCTGAGAACTTGCCGCTTGGCATGGACTGGTCGGTTCGACCTAATGAAAAGCGCCCTTATGAAATATTATGATAATCGTATATAATGTTTTACTGTTTTGAAAAGATATAACTAACAAAACACTGTTATCAATGCTAAATCTAAGACCTGGTTGCTATTCTTAGCAATATTTATTCCATTTAAAAACCAAATGAAATAATGCATTTCTGGTAGTCAATAATGTCCATATCTTACTTGTACTTACCAGATAAAACACGAGTACGAACTGCTTTTGCCGTTTTGTTACTCTATCACTCTGACTGTCCAGCCACTACCAAGTAATCCTCCACTTCACCCGTATGAAATTGAATTTGAGATTAAATTCCTGCAATGATATAGTACTCTACGATAGGATGATAAAGATTTTATTTATAGAACTTTATAATTAAGGCTGTCATTATTCTACATTCATACTACATAGCTAATGTTACCCGTATAATGCACGATTTTTTTTCCTTTCAATAATTTACCGTACAGGTACGCTGCACTAGTGGAACCTTAGCAAAAACTGCTTATGCAATTATTTTTCTGTTTACACAAGTTGTATTTCTAGAGAAATAATTCATGTTTCTTAAATAAATAGCTTGGTTCTGTTTGTGAAAAACATAAGAAGTCTACCGCCAGCTTGTCTGGTAAATCATAAAAAACAATTAGCTCGTATATAGTTTCAAATCAACATGCCAGTATCCCATTGTAAGGAGAGAAAGAAAGAAGAAGGACAACATACATTAAGAGTCGGCAATTTGTACAGGTATAGTTTGACAGAGAGGGTTCGAAAACCATTAATGTAAACACATATAGAAAACAAACCAAAATTAAACACTGAATTTCAAATTGGTAAATGGAAGTATTTTAAATCTTGTCGTTCCACAGAATAATGCATGATGGAAGTTGGAATTGCCTTTTGTTTTAGTGATTTGACGCTTCTTTGCTTTGCTTTCCCGGATTTGTTTCTTTTTCTTATCTTAATGAAAACAAAAACCAAATTATTTCGAATTAAAATACTTTTCATTATTATTTTCGCATCTCTTGTGTTTCGTATATTTTCGTAAGTGAGTTTGCCGATAATTGTGTAAAAAGTTATTTCCTGAAAAAACAAACTCCAAAACACAAAACTCACAGCTGAAATAACTGACACGAAAAAAAAAGTAATAAGGACAAAACAAACAGTTTTTGGTTCGAAAAACATGTGAAAATATTTTCATTCCTCGATAAGTAATTCAGAATACCCAAATAAATTAAACCAAAAATAACATCATATTTGAGATGCGTTTTACTTTAGTACGAATTAAAATCTATGAACTCTTTTATTTTGACAAGTTTACAGGTGAAAGCTCTCAATGACGTACTCTTGTTTAAAGGGCTATCTCAGCAAATTGACAAGTAATGGGCAGAAACTCGTCGTGGAGGCTGAAACTAGTCTAACAGCCACACCCAGAGCCAAACTCTGAGCCATACCTTTTCTTTTTACGATGCACCGGAATATTTAACTCCTTTCGAAAAAATTATTTCATTGAATCATACGTTTGCTTCAAAAATTTCCAATTAACAAATCGAAGTCAGTTTTCTATGGGTCTGTACTGTAATCGAACATGAAATGACGTCAAAAATGATCCAAACTCAAGTGGAACCACGAGCGCAGCAATGTTCCATAACAAAGTCGAAAAAAATGAACAAAAAGACAAGTAAATAGTTTGAAAAAGCCGTTACAYCCGCTCCTTCAGTGCGCGCGTGACGGATGTCGTAAGCACACAGGTCTAGCCTCTAATCGAAAATGGTTCTAAGCCAATCAGCGCGCGAGAAATTTCCAAGTTATAGTAAAATACTAATTTAAATACAGATATATTCCAATTGATCTATTGAAAGATTCAGTAAATCTCCTCTAAAAGTCAGGATAATTAGCGAGAAGTTTCAGTGATATGTGTGAGAGAAGTGGCCCTCTTTAAGCCAAACTAGCTCATAATTCCACTATTTGCGGGGATATCAAAACTYGAAGATTTCCGAGATGCGCTAGCGCTTTCACAAAAATCGCAGGCGCATACATGAAAACATAGATGGAGACATTTTTATCCACAATGGTGAAACGCTAGTGAGCAACAGAGGGAGGAGTACAATGAAGGACTCCGAAGAGCTCAGGACCCCATCTGTCTACGTGCATGTTCTTCAAGAATCGGACTCATAGCCATTATCGAACTCATAAATAATGAAAATAAACTCTGACCAAATACACATCTTCTTACTCGATTGAGGGATTGCCATCAATAACACCACGACGATCCAATAGCATCTTAACTCCTGTATTCCGTATTTTTCTGTAAGTATAGATAGGCAATGGAAGATAATAAGCAATTATTCATTGCTTAGACTAGGTAGTGTAGTTAACATAACCTTTTGTAGCTTGGTTAAAAAAATATAGATTTTGYAAGGAATGGTTTTATTTTCATTCGACTTCCGGTTATATATATTGCCATATCTGTCATGAGGGCCGTATTTTGTCATATTTTGAGGTCATGTAGCACGAAAACGAGAATGGTGACCTCCCTTTTTAATTACATATTGGAAACAACTATGGTGCAATGAAGGACTATGCAAAGTTTTGGGAAAATGACATTTCTCCTTCTATTTCAAGGGAATCTCCTTAAGAAAAATTGATAACCCATGGAGTTGATTTTTCATGGCTTGTCTGACGTCACTTCCTTCCGTCAGTCCGTACATACGTCCGTGTACACAACACAGGGATCTAGTAAGCTTAAGTTTTCAAGCTTCTCGAAAAATAGTTATGGCTTTTATGAAAGGAATAAAAATATTTAAATGAAGAATATTATAAGTGGTTGGTCGTGGGGTTTGTACATGTGACAAAATTCCTAAGTGGGAGAGTAGTATAAGGTCGAAAACAAAGACTCGTGCGAAAAAAAAAAAACGATGAAGAGCATTTCAATTTCAATTTTTTACTTCATGGTTTTCACTATGGTGGACATTTTTTTTTTTTCTCGAAGAAGAAGAAAAATTGAAAGAGATTTTTTGCYCCGAATTTATTTTCATCCTTCAGTTTCATCTAAACTGATTGGGCTCCTTGTGCCTATTTGGAGCCACGCTTTCAGGCAGTGCCTAAATTCATATATAAGGTTCCGAGCACATGCCGAAACTGCAGTAATGCTTCCAAGCGTCAAAGGGTTTGAAGTAATCTAATTCTGGCAGTGCTTTTTTAAGGTAGGAAAAACTAATGGTTTAATTTATTCTGGAATCTGCTCATTCAGAAAGTCCTCATAGTTTGCAACCTGTAGTTGCGCTGTAAGCATTTTAAGAAATTAAATTTCTTGGCCAGTCCATTAAAATCGAAATATTTATTTACTGGTTCCGGAATCATTCTGGATTTTTAGAGCCACTTTACATGATTAAATAACAGGAGCTTGTTATCTCTTAGTGTATACATGACAAAAATACCCAGCATATAAAATGCCCGTCAGAATTTTATACTATAAAGTTTAAACGAAATGCATGCATGTTGGGTCAAAAGGAGCTARTGAAAATCATTACGAATTGACATCAAAGATTGAATTTTAACTGAAAAGAAGGAACAACCGACGTTGTGAATAATTACTTTACCTTTCCTTTAACTGATCAGAGTTTGTAGCTTTACAGTCCATACCAGTTAGTACAGGATCCACTCTTGAAATACATAGTATGACCGACGTAGTCAATTCTCTGATAAGTATTTCAAATTATCATATGACCCGTACGGCCCTGCTCGCGCGCTCTAATAAAACCATTGGAAAAAGTCACGTGATGGGGGCCGGACGGGTTGACGTAAGCGGGCCGGAAAAACCCGTCCGGCCCTGCTCGAATCCGCGCGCTTTCTTTTTTTTAATTATTTTTATTTTCGTGAGGGTCATATGATAAAATGCTTATTGACTGAGTTAGGTCGGGCCGTACGGGAAAATATTTGGCTCTCGGTCATTTGTACGGCATCACCTCGAGCCAAATATTTTCCCGTACGGCCCTCCCACTCAGTCAATAAGTACATAGTATCCCCGGAAGGTTGAAAAAAGCTTATTAAACTCAAATTGTGCATTTGCTTTAATGTCGCCACGTCACGTCCTCGGATGGTGAAAAATGGATAAACAATGGACAATGAAAGAAAAACATATTTTGAACATATGAAATGGTTAAATATAAATTGTAGGCATATCTATTTTGAATTAATGAATAATGTTCGAAAACAGGCAAGCAAACAACTCTTTTAGTACGACATATTGTGTATTTTCTATTTACAAACCTGACATAACCTACTTTTAATCAATGTCAAGCGATATCACTACGACGTGAATAATCAAATGTGAAAAAACTACTTTCAAGATACGAATGACGCCGCAATTTCCTTTTCGCCTTTGCCTCCCAGTCACTATTAGACTTTTGGCAGGGATTTCAGCCATCTACATACAACTTGTCGGGCGTCACTGGAACTGAACGAAAACATTATTCTCCAGGAAGTGACACGTATCATCTAAAATGGGAAACTTTACGCCGATTGGAATGGGGTGCATTTTCCACTATTGCTCAAGATACTTGATAATAGGTACACCTTATAAATCATGGTACCCTCTGAAAAGAAAAGGAAAATTAAATATTGGAATAAAAGATATCATTCCTACTTGCGGTTCGTTTCATTTTATCAGATATGCCGTCGGCTCAGTATTATCTAAAAGAAGTCGGAAGAAAGTGTCAATCACAAGTCACGTACAGCACCAGTAATTTAGGCCCAAGAGTGTAACTTCTTATATGAAAACTGCACTAAATCGAGTTTTTTAACATTTCCTAGCTTTCGATCAGGCGAGTAGCTAATGTGGCTTTGATAGAGATTAAAGATATCTTTTAGAAATCATTAAGAGACCTGAGGAATTAATTAAACAATAAAACAATCTGGATTGGCAGCTTGAACCTTGTAACCTATTCACAAAGAGTGTTCTTATACCCAGTTATTTTTGTTCTTTTTATAATTTTCCTGGATTCATTAGTTATCTTCTTACGATATCAATGGGTCAATGCTTCCTCTACGTATGAATTATTTAATAACCAAGCTTTTGGCTCATGGAGCCATCATCAGGGAATGGTTGCAAACTAGTATGATGGACGGCTATTTGCAAATGAGATGTTACCATAACGATGAAACAAACAGAGCGAGCTAACCATTCCCTGGTGGTGGCTCGATGAGCCGAAAGCTTGAATATTAAATCAAATATAGTTTGTTGTGAAATACGATCGTCCGGGTGAGTGTAGTCTTGAGAAAGACTGTTGTTGGTGGTGATTGACGTTTCGACAACCTGAGTGGAAGTCATATTAAAATATAGGTAGACGAAGCATTGATCCATATATGCATTAATATTATGATACCCACGTACAAAGAAACATTGCATCATCTTCTTGTTTGTCGGGCTGCTGGCCAGGATTTGTTAAGGATAATGCCGAAAATGCGTTTGCGTATCACTGGGTTCACCCCAAGTCCGCTATGAGAAAGAATGGATAAAACGGATTTGGTTTTTTATACTAACGACGTTACCATGAATACGATTTGCTAAAAAGACATTTAATCGGCTCAAACAATAGAACCCTGACAAGAATAAGCAAGTTTTAAAATTTGTTCTCTGCTAATATGATCACAAGTCGCCAATTATTCAGTCAGTATGAGTTATTATCTTGATATTACATCTAGCTTCCATTTTCCATATTGAAAGTATCGAATGGATCTTGCAGCTGTGTTGATAATTCCCAGTCGTTTTTTTTCTTGAACCAAGCTTCAAAGCGGCCTAAGTCTTAATTTTCATTCAAATTTATAGCCTCTGGGTCACTTTTTTACTGAAAATTAATTGAATTTGACTTTTGATATATCATTTCTTTTCACGTTCRGATCCCCTCTTCCGGCCTCTAGGCAAGTTTTACCTGAATATCCGTTTAAAAGAAATCGGTTAAACGGAAAAAAGCAAGCTGCCATAATAAATCTTCAGCCGGAGCCGCATAACTTTTAGGCTGAGAGATGAGAATAAAGGAATAAACGAAAAAAAAAATCAGTTAAAAAAAGACCGGAAGACATTGGAAATAACAGACCGGACAACAAGTAATCATCGTTAGACCTTTAAGAAATGAACTGGCTTATAGGAAGAAGTTGCCATTTTGTCGTGTGTTTGTATGGACCACTTAACTTGTCAGAAAAAAAGTGCCTTTGATGTAAAGCCGGATTATCGGGCACAGACAAGCAGCGCTCGATAATTTTGGTCTTGTTTCCTTTTTTTTTTTTTTTTTTTGGAGAAATACAATACTGATGCAGCTAGTTTGCCTGGTACCGTTATCGTAAACTCACTATGACTTCAGTTAATATATCAAAATATTTAAAACGTGAACAAATTAATTAGTGGGCAACTTCTCGTGTATTGAAACCTAATTCTTTGTAAGGAATAAAGATATTACAGTCTTCAGAAAGTAATGGAATTACTGACACTAAATTTATTCCAGTCCCGCATTCTTAGTATTTTTATTACTGTATATTCTGCATTTTTAAGRATGAGTTTTCTAATATTAAAAACGGTCGACCAGTGGTGTATGCGAATCCACGTTCTCTGTTGCAAACAATGAATTACTCAAGGCTAGTAACTATTACAGTTATTAGAAGGTTTTAGTGTAGTAAGGAAGGTCTTAAGATACCAGCCCCTATAAAGTATGTTTTTTGTTATCTGTCTTTGCGAAAAAATACAACACCCGTTAAGCTAGAGTGTTTGTCAGGATTCATTTCAATTACATGTTTCATCACAAGAGTCGGACTGTGATAGTTTAGAAAAAATTGATTCCAGACTGAGCATCGACTTACTTCTTTAAGGTTTCCCCAACTTGTTTGTTTTAATAATTTTCTACCTCAACCAAAGTTTGTGTACTGATTTTTACCTCAATAGTAGCGTATTTAAAAAGTCATGTACAGTTTCGGTTCAAAATCGGCTCCTGGTACCTATTTGCTTGTTTTTTGTTTGAAGCATCAAAATACAGAATAATTGACTTTTTTATTAGTACTTACAATAGAGTTTATTCATCGCTTGGATGTTGAAGGGAAAGATCATCTAGCTACCACGGCAGTAGTGACTTGAGTTGCCTAGTATACACCTAGTACTTTTATGACCACCACCCTAAGTGTTAATGTCATCAGATCTGAATGTCCATCACGCAGGTGGCTAAGCTTTAACACCCCATCACCGTAGTGTTTATGGCTTATAACTTCAGAACGCCTATCTAACGCATTTTTCTTGTATACCTTTGAATTTTGAAGAACCCATGCAATTCGATCGTTGAAGCCTTTCCTTTATGTTTGCAAAAAAATATAACACCCGAGATATAACACCATCACGTGATTGCAGCCATGACAGAAGGCACAACAACAGAGTCCTTTTTCCGTGGGAAACTGAATTCTTTCTCATGTAAATCAGATTAGACCAGATTCAATTGCCCCTGCCTCCTGTCATGGCTGCCATCACGTGATGGTGCAAGGCTGGCAAGTTAAGGTTTAATAATAAAATATTTTGGGTTTCACCAAGATGTGTTTCTTTGAAGTCTAACACCAAAAGCCCGATTTCGGTTTTCGGAGAACTTTATTCTCCATAGGGAAACTACAAGCAAAGCCAACAGAAAACGAATGAAATATGAAGCGAAACTAAACATAACAAAAAAGGAAAAAACAAGTCGACGTTTGTCAGTGATGAGTGCATCATGTAATGGTGAATTTCGTGATATGGTTTGCTGTAGCCGTTAGCTGGTAATCTCGACTGATCACTACTTTGGGTTAAATCAGATAACCTAGTATGCAGGAAAAGTAACGAAATGCTGGAATTTCAAGGCCATTAAATATTTTCTCGAATATTTTTTAATCTTAATTTTGATGGAAGTTGAATCCAAACAGGAAAAGAAAATTACGATGGAACACAAAGGGCTGCGAAGCTGATGTTTGACGGGACTGATTACAGCTCCAACGTGAGTAAAGTTGGTATATACATATTGTTACACTGTATCGAAGTATTGCAAAATAAATTAAATAATAACAAAATCCATTTATAGGAAGCAAAATTGGCATAGTGGGGATGTTCAGATGCGTCGTCCAAACGCAAACGTCCTACTATCATTCTTCACAACCATTCACATACCTTTTTCTCCGACGAGGGACTAGAACTTTTCATGAATGAAGATTCACGGCACTCGGTGCCCACTGCACTTTGTAAACTCGACACTGGCCTTTTTCTATAGACTTACTTCAAGAGAAAATGAACTAAGAGAAGGAATCCCCGTGCCCCATCATGTGCACACGAGATCCGCTCCTTGTCCCCGACAATACAACGAGATGGTATATAGCCAAACTCCAGTCGTAATAGTGCATAATAACTAAACCAGTAGTAATATGCCAACCTTTATTCTTACCATGCTCAACACCATATACCCAATACTCAAAAACCCACATCCAATACTCAAAACCCACATCCAATACTCAAAACCCACATCCAAACCCAAAAACCCACATCCAGTACTCAAAACTTAAAGCATAATGCCGGCTAATTATGTCCACTATCCACTACTCAAATATCCTGTATAATCGGTGTGAAATCGGCGCTAGGACGTGTGACCAAAGGAACAAAGCCCAACGAAGTCCAAAGCAGTAAAAAGCAGGACCGAAACAGAACAAAATACCAAAAAACAAGTTTATACAGCACTCAGTAAATTATCAGGGTGAGAGACCGGGACGTCTGCCAATGCCTCCGCCCTGGACCAACAAAGGGTGGGGTTTCCTCGGTAATGCACCTCAAGGGGATCGCCCCTTCAGGGATTAGCCTTTGAGCAACGTGAAGTCTCGAAGCAAATGGGGAACCATTTACCTAGAACGCAACCAAAACCAAACAAGGGTGAGCGCGACTAGGTAACCCCGGAAACCCGACACTCTGTTGRTCCTTAGTGCGACCAAGGCGTTCTCGCAGGACTCGACGACTTTTTCTCTTTCCAGAGCCTTAACCTTCTGTTCTAACAACTCTAAGCGATCCGCAGGCTGTAAGAATACGCAGAGAGGGATTAAGTCAGTACTCTGAAACAACGAGACCAACTTCCGGCCTAGTTCTAAAAAACGCAGTGTACAAYCATGGCTGCCCAACCACGCGTGCCGAAAAGGGGGTTACGCTCCCGTGGCTCTCCGAGCCCTTTAACGTACTACAGTACAACACAAGTATTGGATACAAAACATCCTGCTCGCGGCTCTCCAGGCAGCATTGGTTCTCCAGGCCAATCTAACTCAAAATATTACGCGACATACTCGCGGCTCTCCAGGACGTTAGCTCTACTGACATTGGCTCTCCAGGCCAATCTAGATAACTCAAATTATTACGCGACAAACTCGTGGCTCTCCAGGCCGCTAGCCCTACTCGTATTGGCTCCCCAGGCCAATCTAACTCAAATTATTACGCGACAAACTCGTGTCTCTCCAGGCCGCTAGCCCTACTAATATTGGCTCTCCAGGCCAAACTAACTCAAATTAATTACGTGGCATATTCGCGGTTCTTTAGGCCGATATAAAGCTTACTTTAAGAAATAAGTAACCGGAATAATAGCCCCAAGAAACTGCACAAACTACGAAGATAAATATCACACAAAAGCACTAGGACCGCGTGAAATAAAAACGCTGAAGCAGATCCGTACACCAGGGCAAAAAAGTGTAACCTACATAAAAGGCTAAAACCGATAAACCCAAGGGCGCTAAAGAACAAGCCGTGAACAAAGAGCCAAACCAACCAAGTGTGACGAGGGTAGAAATAAATGCAAATCTGAAGGGTAAACTACTTGAGTAAAACTATAACTGCGCCCAAAAATACCATGTAATAACGCATAAATTAGTAGTAGCATGCCTTGGATGCAAATCTGAAGGGAAACTACTCGAGTAAAACTATAACTGCGCCCAAAAATACCATATAATAACGTATAAAATAGTAGTAGCGTGCATTAACAAAACCACGAGATCCAGATAAACTGGCAGGAAAAAAATAGCGCCAACACAAAGGGAATAACAAACTCTCCCAGRTAAAAGAACTGCAGCAAAATTACCTGCTGCTCGCCAGCCGGTGGAACTAATGCTCCCGGCGCTTGTTGTTCAGGGTTTTGAACCCCATCTCCTCCTGCCGCCACGTGAACTCTCAGTACAAATGATATCTTTGAAATTTTCTTTGCACCGGCAAAACGAAACAAATAGAATACAACAAACCCAAACTTTGCTCCACAATACCTGCCGTCAGCATAAGCGCCTCAAGTCCCGTCTGTGTTTCATCAGCATGCATAGAGCACTAGAATGTTGGCCTCTGGCTGGTGGCGGTGGTGGGGACAGCGAGCAAAATTCGTACTTCGAAGGTCCAAACGACGTTATGCAATGAGTCATGTGTGTTGACTTAATTTATACTGCCTGGTAATAATTTGTTCAGTGAGAATATTATAATAATATTTTTGCTGGTGATAACGTAATTTTCTTAACTGCATGAAGATACCTAGCAACATAGCTATTTTAATTTTTTCGTTTTTGTTCCGTGAAGAGGATAAAGTTTACTGATACCAAGGTTCTTTAAGCAGTTAAGCTGCACCTATACGAGCAAATTTTCCTTGACAATTTTCATTTGACAAGTGTTTCTTGCTTGTGTAGTTATGAAATTTTTTTCTTGACAAGCCTTAATTGTGGCTGCAAAGTGTTATGTACAGCAGAATACCGAGAAAAAGACCCTAGTCCCCGGTCAAGTCCAATAAAATGGCCGCTAGTCAAACTAAAGAAGAAAAGTTCGATTAATTGCCTGCGGACTAGTAGTTCTCCGTGTGATATTATTTAGTACAATTTTAGACTTGAATATAGAGTTTCACGCGCTGCGATTGATCGAGCAACCAATGATTTTGAGRCGATCGATAATCACTGCTCAGGTGGTGATCATTATCAAGTTTCCCGACGTTCGCCAGAGCGGAAGTAATACTAAAACACTTTTTATCCTGAATTTCGTCTTTTCTCTAATATTCCTTTACTGATATTTAAATCACTCATGATTGTAAGCTGCACGGCTGCTAATAGCGCCTAATATGCAGCCCGTAAAGTGAGATAATGTTATAATGCTCTATATGGGAACCCCATTATTTTTCTTTCTTTACTGATATGTCCAAAATTATACTAAAACAAGTATTTGCAAAGTTTTTATCGGTGAATATTTACCGAGCCGCGAGTCAATATTTAACACTTATTGACTGGGACCGAGGGAAACAGTGAGTTTTGGTCCCGAAATCTCCGTCTAGGGACCACGAAACAAACTGCCGTTTTCCGAGAAGTGTTTTGTTATATACTAAGTGTCAAAGGACAGAAAGCAATTATTATTTGATTTTTTGAATATTTGATATTGAAAATTTTACAAAAAAAACATATTGTTGCCCGCTGAGAGCCGTTGTCGGAGAAACATCGAAACTTGTTCACGYTCAAGTAATACCCTTTTGCCCAATCAGAGTAAGAGAAAAATGTTCGACTTGGACAGTTGGTATATAACAATAATATTTATTTAAATATATATTTATATTTATATTCTTGTATGCATCAGATTTTTTGTTCCATAAACTTTCCTTGCTTCAAGGTGAAGTTAGGAAGTTACGTTCGCCGCCATTTTTGAATTTATGGGAAGCATGGGTGGCGTAGCGGTGAGAGCGCTCGCCTCTCATCAATGCGACCCGGGTTCGAGTTCCGACTAGTTCGGTGTTGTATGTGAGTAAAGTTGTTTGTTGGTTCTCTCCTGTGCTTCGAGGGTTTTGCGGGTTCTCCGACTTTCCTCCCTCCGTAAAATCAACTTCTAAATTCCAATTGGAATCAAGTGGAAGAACAGCCACACTGTGAAATCCACTGTTAATCCCATTTTTATGTCCGCAAAAGTAATAGGAGTGAACGCACTCATATGTTCCTTTATAAGTGTTCCTTCGGTTCTCCACAGTACACGAACAAGTCAGTTGCGCATGCGCACGCCTTGACAAATTGCCTTGGATTTCCTTTTTCTTGACTTAGATTTTCCTTGACATGGAATTCACGCTGATTTATGTATCACTGCAGTGTGACACGCTATTTCGCAAGAACGCAAAAGAAAAACGCAACAGAAAAATACAAATAATGTAGAATATTTATGTTAGAAAAAAGCTTAAATTTGTAGGACCTTGAACTTCCATTTCAATGAAATTATTTAGTCTATTAATCCCGACATTCAGTATCATTTCTTTTGTAGTCCTCTCTTCATCGTGTCAGCAATAAATCGAAATAATATATTCCAAGCATCTGCGGTTTCCTCAGTCCATTGTGATTCCAAGAGGTCTTGAAGGGTCTCAATCAATGCCAACTGCATTGCCTGAAATACAAAAACATTAACACTAGTAAAGACAAACTATTAATCGAAGGACGCGGGAGAAAAGCAATAGCAGCGAAGACACTGCACCTACGCACCGCAAAAAAAATTAAATCTGAAAAATTATTTTTTTTAGAAACTATTTGATGGAGTAGTTAATTCGCTTTGRTTTTCCCCTCGCGAAACCTAACAAACTAAATTCCAATTCGACCTGTGACTTAGTCGAATAAACATGGCATGATCTTAAATTTGGTTTCTCCACAGATTTGGATTAATTGCATTTTATTTAAAAAGAACACCTGACTTTTTAATTATTAAAGTTAAAATTATTTAACGGGGGCCGGAAAGCCACTATTTTGTGGGGGAGGGCCATTATTTTTTGAGTGCCGTTTAGGGGGGAGGGGCTACAAGTTTTTGAAATGCGCTCTGGGGGACCATTACTTTTTGAGCCTGAGGTCGTTAAAACATTGTCATGCATTAAAAATGGCATTTTTTCGAGATTTTGAAGTCAAATATTTTGCACCTTTTCAACACTCCATGTATATATATATCTGCAGTTTCCAGTGAACTAAGCTTGTATATTCAGAACAGAGTAATGCGGAATAAATCAGCCTACACTAGCTCCAAGAGTTTGGACAAGTTGGAAGTACGTTTTTCATTCACTCATACCTGCTGTTCAAAGGATTTGCATCAATCCAGTAACATAGTTAAGGACGTTTACATAGCTGATATTCCTTTGATTGTCATGAATATAATTCTCAGTCATTTGAGTTATAGTACATAAAATTAGTGGTTGTATTTCAAGTTTTTTGAGACAGATTTGATTGTTCATCAATTTTTTTTTACATTGTGCCTTTCAGGAATTTCTTTTTCAATTACTAGTAAAATTAGACCTTTAGCTCACCATCGGTGCCAATATGGATCCAATGAGAGCTGTTATGTTAGTTGCTATCGGAATTGTTCTTGGAATAACATAAATGGACCTCTCATGGCCAAACTACAATTTCTAATCTTATAGTGCCCAGCGAATCGTCTCAGTCAAGCTCAGTACACTGAGACTGGGTTATCGATAGACCTAAGAAACGGTCTAAAAATCAAACGATTTAACACACCTTGCATGGGTCTCTAATCTTACACACATGTACTTGCCCTTTAACTATAGGTTGGCTTTCAGAATTATGCCAAAATAGCATTATTGGATATTTGTTAAACAATGCTTTTTTCAAAAAGTTCTGGGCTTTCCGCGACTTAGCGCAGGCTGTCTCCCACAGGTTCAATGAAAGGAAAACCTGCAGACTTTTATACATAGAGTCTCCTGCATAATACAATGTGATTATATCCAATATCGCATACTTTGAAATCATTCCATACATAGTGCTTCATCAACTTTGTCAATCAATATTACCCAACCAACGTTTAGCAGCCATGGGCAGCACGTATGTAGCAGTAGTGATGTACTCATTCAGACCCTGACATGCATTAGTAGACAAACTTACATCAAGATAAGATGGTTTAAGGGCACGTGCGATATGTCTCTGCCCCAGTCCCTCCAGGTATGCAGCAAAACTCTCCGTATCATCCATGGCTGTAACAGCATTTTCCACGGCCTTCATAACTCGTTTAGCGTGTCCATGTAAAGCATTTGCTCTTTCAAGCTCTTCTCGCTTAAGGTTCACAAACTCAGGAAA